TTGAAACTAGTAATTTTGTAGATATTTCCGTAAATATCTTAGAAAATAAAAGTCGGATAAAAAATGTCTTCAAACAAAAGTTGTTTGCTTCTTTACGTAGAATAAAGTTCCGTAATAAAAAATGTATATTTCTACTTAAAAAAGCAAAGTTGACCTCGACCTGACCTTGGCGGGGCCACGCAAGGTCAAATCAATGGTATTTTCTTATGTCCCCCATCGATCCATATAACTTTTGTCTGAAACATTTTTTGAAAAAATTTCTTCTTTTTGAGATTTTTGCGTGTATTGAATAAAATGGCCCACCCTGTATGTATGTATGTATATATGTATATGTGTGTGTGTGTGTGTATATATAATATATAAATGATAGACTATATATATATATATATATATATATATATATATTTTTTTTTTTTTTCTTGATTTGTATAGGGTAAACTTGGATAAGATGGCCATACTTTTCTAAAATGCAAAAAAAATATATTTCTTATTGTTATTTCTTAATAGCGTTTGGCACATTACGTCACTGAAGCCTACAGTACATAATATTATCAGAGTTAAAAGAAAAATACTTCAGTGAAATTATTTATTACAAAAATAATAAAACATGAGCATTACCTAAATGTTTAAGACAAGATAGCCATAAGGAATAGATGACTCATAAATATTTTATGTTCAAGATTCTGTACCTATTATTTGATAAAACAGTGAAAAAACAATTTGATATATTCATTTTAGTATAGGATATTTAATACATATTTGTGAAAATATAATATACATATAAAATAAAAACCTGTATTACAAAACTTTAAATTTTAAATTCAATTTTTTATTAAAACATTGCACATAAGATTTAATTACTATAATATTGAAAGTAATTTTTGAAATGTAACGACTTCTGTTTTATAAATGTTAGAATGATAGTGGACCATCTTACCCAAAATGTGAGTGAAAGACGATTATAATAATACTTATAAACAAATAGTAAAAATGAAAATAAAAATGAATGTTATATTACAGTTTACATACTGGATTTGAGGCTTTCAGTTTACATACTTATTTTATGTATCTAACGTTGATTGCGATAGCTTAACTATAATTTATCCGATGTTACAGCAAGTTTTAGTGGATAAATGAGAAATTTTACAGGTAGTCGAAAATGAAAATATAGTATAATATTCATAATCTTGCTATTTCAAAAAATGTACGCACATATACTACGATAAATGTCGATTATCTTTGTGACTGATTACACAAACGCAATGTTTTGCAATTATTACAGAAATTACAGCCTATGGCCATCTTTCCGATATGGTCATCATATCCGAGTTTACTCTATCGATCTCTTAGATAAAAATTGATCCTTTTTTCCTAGCCATAAATGTTGCACACGAATACCTTAACTAAAAACCAAAGTTCATTCCAAAAACTAACTTTTAATATATTCCATTTCCATTAATTAAAAATCGGTCGCAAACTGAGTCCTTGTACATTAGAAAATCACGTAAGTCAAAGAAAGTTAATACATTCGTCAACAAAATTATCGCATAGGTAAATTTATATCGAAATTTCACACAATTTTAAATGAGCATAATACTGCAAAACATTATCGTATTTAAAAAATTTTTTTTTATTTTAAAAGGTGAAGTCTGTACTTTAAGGAGCATTTGTCGGATTTTGAATTTATTTTCTCTCCTTCTCGTAGTCTTTTCAAGAATAAAGATGTGTTCGTCTCCAAAAAATTGTACAATTTGACGTATTCTATAGGGTGGAGTAAATTTTTTTTCGCAAATTTCGTAATAACCATCGTGTAAAGTATAAATTTTCCCCTGCAAAAACAAAAAGCGGATTTGTACGATTTTTTTTCGCGGAGTTGCGACATATCAAAGTTACCTATGCATTTTTTTTTAAATCGCTTAATTTGACACACTTTACTGAGTGGAATAAATCCTTTTCACAAATTTTACGATAACCTTCGTAAAATATCGATGTTTCCTTGCAAATAAAAAATGAAGAGGCACGATTTTCTACGGCGATGTTATACGGCGTATCAAAGTTACCTATACATTTTTAACCCTCTATAGGACACTGGTACATAAGTCGTACTAGCAGCACAGAATTGGTCGAAAGAGTCGGGAATGGTTCTAAACGCTTTCCCTGAATGGTCACTAGTACAACAGTTATACCGGTTAATATATCTTATCAAAAATTTTTTTCAGTCTTAAAAATGATATTAAAATATCTCTAAGGACTATTTTAATGAAGTTCAAAAGAAAAAACTCATTTGTCATATCCAAGGAATCTTGCTCTATAAAGGGTTAATCAAGTACCGTGACAAATACGCGTGCACATATACACGCAAAATCCGATCAACAATCTCCCCGTAGTGCGCATTGAATAATGTTAATGCTGACGGTAACTGATTAGAAATGCATAGGTAACTTTGATACGCCGTACAACATCGCGGAAGAAAGTCGTGCATACCTCTTCTTTATTTTTTTATTTGCAAGGAAACGTCGATATTTTACGATGGTTATCGTAAGATTAGTGAATAGAATTCATTCTATTTAGTACAGTGCGTCAAATTAAACGATTTTTAAAAAATGCACAGATATCTTTGATATGTCGCAACTCCGCGAAAAAATCGTACAAATCTACCTTTTTTTTTTATTGCAGGCGAAAGTCTATACGATAATTATCATGAAATTTGCGAAAAAAAATTTATTCTACCCTATAGGATACATCAAATTGTACAGTTTTTTTAAGAGACGTCTTTATTTCTGAAAAAACTGCGGGAAGGGAAGAGAATAAATTCAAAATCCGACAAATGTTTCTTAAAGTACAGACTTCTCTTTAAAATAAAAAAATTTTTTTTTCAAATACGATAATGTTGATATGTATTATGCTCATTTAAAATTGTGCGACATTTCGACAGGAATTTACCTATACAATAATTTTGTTGACGAGTGTATTTAACAAAATTTAGAATATTAATGTTTTACCAATTTTATTTTCGTTCTTTAGATTTAAATCGTTAGTAAGTTGTATCATGTATTATTTTATACAGACTAGAATAATGAGAATATAGATATTGTTAATACAAAATTGGATTTCGTATAATCCATTATAATGATGCGAAATAATGCTGAACCATAAATGGAACTTGTGCATAAACATTTTTACTTTTTTTATTTACAATGAATTTAAAGTCTAATAATTTTACTTTAAAATTATATTTGTTGCTTATGTTGATATTAACAGTCCCTTTTATTGTTTGATCAAATTTATGTAACTGAACGGAAGTTATTCTATCCTTGGATGACATAATTAGCACTAAAAACTGCGTGAAAACGATCATTTTTTTGCATAAATTTTACGTTTATATAATATCTTATAATCATTTTAAATGTGTTTGGATAGTCCTTCCTTACAATATCTTTATTCTGTTTCTTTATGTATTCGTTTCCTTATTTTACTTTGCTTCATGTAGTTGTATACATGATTTTTACATCTAATTACAAATTATTTTTCTTTTGTAAAGCAACAACAAGGAGGCAACGAGGAGATACTTTCCTGCGATGTGTGTGGAATCACATACAAGTTCATGAGTTCGTTGACGAGGCACATGGTAACTACGCACATGAATCCCGAGAAATTGAGGCAGCAAGCGGAGGAACAGCGACGAAAACGCGAGAATAATTACCGGAAGTATCTGGAAAACCGAAAAATGTATGAGACGCAGCACAACACATACATTGCAAAGCGTAACTATCATCATAACGCGCGTTTACTCACCGGGAATAACGACGACACCGCCTGACTTGAACTCTCGCGTAGTTTTTTAACGGTTTGTTATCGTGAGTCATTACGACATCTCCCTGGATCACCTCTATAAAAAATAATACATGTATCTCGCGTGCGTGCTCAACCACGTCTCTTTATATCATTGATTGGCGCAGCCGTACACTGATGTGCATTTAATTTAATGAACTTGTTGAGAATACATTAGCTAAAAAAATACGCACGCGCACACGCGCACGCACACACACACACACACACACACACATATATATATATATATATATATATATATATATATATATATATATATATATTTAGTCATTCAAGACTACGACTATTTCTTAATTAGATTGATATTATGGAATATGTGTATGCCAATGGTACATGTATACAAGTGGATACATGCATATATAATGTGTATACATACATATACATATATACATATATATATATATATATATATATATATATATATATATATACACACAAATTTCTTTAATTTTACGTGCACTAAAAATGCTGATTCAAAATAAACTAGCATTATTTGTACACGGACATTTCAAGCGTGCCTTACTTACTCATTTATTTGCACAATGTCTCAAGTGCTTTGAAATACGCGTATTTAATATCGAACTCCATGTCGTACCAATAATTAATGGATATGCAAGCATGGGACTGAGTTACATGATGAAACCATAAAGAGGGTAGATATAGCGCGTCTCCTGCATTCAATGTGACTTTCAGAGTTTGTGCATTATCATACTTTGGGTATCTAGAAATAAAATTATTATTTTGCGAGTTCTCTCAAACGAATGTTATTTGAGAAATAGAACGTTAGGCCATGTATATGCTGAACTTTTCATAATCTGGCTTTAATGGGTCTATACATATCCATGGTGTTAATGTGGAAGAATTTGCCATTTCCGAATCGAGTGTTTCGTCGAGTGGCTCGATCGTCCACTTTCCAGGTTCGTATTCTTTATAAACCGCGGATGGATAATTTCCGTATGGAATCCATGGCAAATCCGTGGGAGGATGTAAGATAAAATTCTTTTCGCCGGTCACAACGCAATATATGTTTTCATAAGGATCTTTGTGCACTATAAGAATTAGGGGACAGTTGGATACACGTTCGAGTCTCATGAATTCTTAAAATTAGTCATATAGATGTCTGTTAAAATTATTTCTATGGTAATACCTATGTGTATACTAAGCGTCAATTATCAATGATCCCTTTTAGATTGTATAAACAAAATTTACGCAAAACAATGATCGTACACGTGCAGTTTTTAGCACGATGAGATTTAAAAAATACTAAGATAGTCTCAGTATGTTGTTAAGTCAAAATAAAACTTTACTGGAAGTCACAGCTCTTTCGTCCCCCATCCAGAAGTTCACGGCGTCTGGTCGCTTTCCAAACGCCTCGTTAACCCATGGTATCTCTACTTCTGCGTCCGACCACAACTTGCGAAAGCTGCTTATAAAATTGGAATTTTGTTTCTGTATGTAAAATATGCTGTCCTTCTGTGGATCCTCTAATCTATTGAGGAAGTCTGACATCGTGAGATTGCGTTCCTCGGGCATCACGAAATATTCTTCAGCCGCATCGTCTGTCTTGGCTATCGCGTCTGCATACCCGTTCGGTGTCACGGCAACCGAAATCTGTTCGTCGCAGAATATCTTACGAAGATATGGTATGGACCATTTGTCTATGGCAGGCCAATGTTTCACCGCACCTCGTATCACCAATGGTACATTCTTTGAAACGAAATCTCGGTAGAAAGTGAGCGATGTAATTCTGTGACTCACTTCTGCAATTTCTCTTTGCAAGTACAATTCTATGAGATAAAATTGCGGATATTACAATTATATATGAACATGAAGAAATTGTATAGAGATATATTGCTATACAGAGAAAAAAAATCATTCATTCTGGTAAGAAAAATAACTAATCAATTTCCTGTCTTTCTTTTATTTATCTTTAAGGTATCTTCAACCTTTAACCAATCGATTCTTCAACAAAGAATATATATTTTCTTGTTAATATTAAAAAAAATATTGAAGAAAAAATTTGTTTGACTTTATATACTGAACACTGAAAAATGTTATAGAAAAATTGGATAATGCTTGAAATATATAATTCAATAAGGATAAAAAGAATTATATTATTTGATAAGGATTAAAATATATACAAATTTTGTAGAAAAATTGAGGATTGATAAAAATATATACAAATTTCACTATATGACTTTATTTCTAAACTGATCATCTCTATCCAATTCTCCCATTTCTCACATTTTCCAATTTCTCACATTTCAATTTGTATAAAAAAGTTGATTTCATTCATTTTATATCGTATAACTTACTTTTAACAATTATATGGTATACTAAACAATTATTTACCTGGATACACATACTTTTCTATAATTTCTTACATAGAATTTTCTTATATAATATTATCAAATTTTTTAAACAGGACAAATCGAATTTTTGTTTTATTGTAATATTCTTCATAGAAATATTCATCTTACTAGAATTCATAATCAAATTTTGAATAAATTTGATACTTGTGATAAATTTATGACATATTTGTAGATATAAACTTGCGAAATACTTGAAAAAAGTAATATTTACTTGAATGCAGTATGTTTCTTTGTGACTATACAAATTTAACTTTTTATAGATAATTCATCTGATATCACAAATTCCAATTCGATTCGAATAAATCGCGATGCATATTCTATTTTGTATTTATAACAATATCTCGCGTAGATCTATATCATGTTCATGTTTGTGTTTCTTTTTTAACATAAATTATATATTATATTTATATTTGTAGTCACACATATTATTTCTTATTTCTTATTATACAGCATATTTGTACAATTGGCTATTATTACCCTTCAATAATTATATTTATATAACAAAAATATTTTTATCCTTTTTTCACAAATAATTTTGTAAGAACATTTTTCTACTTTAGTAAAAACAGAAATGGTAAATCATGCAGAGTATAGAGCAACGTTATCAGAGGTTAGTAAACATTGTTTCAGAAAGATGAGTAACAAACCTTTTGTCTCCTTCGATAAAACATAAAATGCTTCTTGGATTTTAGTTTCGCCATCTGTCATCTCTCGAGTATAAGTTATAAAAAAGGAAAATACGGCTGAGTACTTATTGACAAGTGTTTATAACGAACAAACAGTGTTAGGTTAGATTGGGAAGTGTAAATCCCCACATCTGTACTGTGTAATCGATACTCATGACCCCTGAGCATCGATGATTATTCGTCACGTGCTATTGAAAATTTTATTACCGTCTGATTATTAGTGACAGATAAGTCTACGGGAAAGATATTTTGATATGTATACACGTAAGTCCACTCTCCAATAAATACAGAATAATAGCAATAATAGTGTAGAAAAATTTATAATTATAAACATAGCTTTTAATTATACACAGTAATTTTATATGTGTACATATAGAACAAATAGAGCATAGATTGAGCAATATTTATTGTATCAACACATTACATTATAATATACAAGTTCTGTTATGTGTGTTGTGTAATATATGTGTGGTGTGTGTGTGTGTGTGTGTGTGTCTGTGTGTGAGTTCTTTTGTTATATACATGCGTGTTAATTACTGAATTATCATAGCCTTTATATGAAATAAAGCAACTGACGATTTTACTTCATATGTTATATAATTCTAGATAGTGAGAAAAAGAATGATTTATATTGTATAATTTTTCTTGAGTAATCCTGCTTTGTTTAACGTGAAAGCTTGTTACACTTTATAAACATTTTAATTAATTAGTATCAAAGCTATATGATATCAGAGTTAAGTTAACATATAATATTAATTTTTTGTAGATACAATGTACAAAATAAACTGGATGAAGTAAAGATAAACTAGGTAAGACAAACAAATTTATAGATACATACATTTCTTATGTATAATATTCAGTAATTGTTGCAAGCATGGAGAAGCATAATGCGTTACTGCAGATACATCTGGAAAGACCTCTCTATGAACATGAAGCATTGAACCAAAATTATCGTTATGAGAAACCAAAGTCATCCTGTAAGTTATAACAAAAACAATACACTGCTGCTTAAGTATTGCTTGACATATACAAATCCTGCAATGAATATTGTGTATATATATATATATATATATATATATATATATATATATATATATATACACAATATTCATTGCAGGATTTGTATGATATCAGTATGAGTAAGTTGTTCTTTTTGTAGTGATACAAAGCGCAGTAAATAATGTCAGATCCAAAAGTTGGCGGTCTTGTGTAATGTCTATAATGCCAGCAATAACTTGGCTGGGTTCATATAATTGGAATGAAAACATACTACCTGATATAATCTCTGGCTTAACTGTGGGAATCATGCATATACCACAAGGCATGGCCTATGCACTTCTGGGCAATTTACCTCCAGTAGTCGGCATATACATGGCCTTCTTTCCTGTCTTAGTATATTTTTTCTTTGGTACATCTAAACATATATCCATAGGTGAGCATATATATAATATGATAACAAACATACAATCTTTGAAAATATACTGAGAAGATAATAGAGAAAACAAACTTACAGAGAATTATATAACTCATATAACTTATATAGAATATTCTATAGTCCATGTTTTCTTTTTCTCATTCCCTCTTTACTTTCATGTCAAGTTTTTTCTCTACACGTTTTTTTTTTATAAAAATCAAGGTTTATTGAATTTTGTTGAGTTTGAGACATACTGTCCAAAATTTATGCTTTATTAACACTTTCGTTACTAATTTTGTTTTTTTAAAAGTACAATTTTTTTACTTCATTAAATATATTATAATATAAAATAGCTTTAGCAAAAAAAATTAAAGATTTTATGTTTAGCATCAAAGGGATAGGGCTGGGATACTGATGTCCTACAGGAGTTTTTGGGAAGACATTCGTTCTAATGATAATAAGTAGGATGATAGCACTGATGTGTTCAAAATGCCAAGAAAGCTACTTATTTAATTGAATAAGATTATTATTAATGATAGGGAAAATATATTCTGTTGGTAGTAAAAGGGTTAATCAAAATTTTCTATGATCTATTTTAGGTAAGATCGAAAAATTAAAACTGTTCAATCTCTATAAGCTCTCAAAAGTCAATAATAATACTTTTATGGATTATTCGTATTTAAATTTTGCATATATAACATTGGCATGTTTTCTTAATAATTAGTTTGTTTATAAAAATTAATTGATAATATTTTTTTGATACAACGTCTGATATCATATGCCTGGTTTACATCGTGCACTTGATATGCATACTAAATAGTAACTTTCTACTAAATAATCGTAATATCGACGATGTACATATATAAACAACGGTATATTAAGTTAGTATAATACTCATCAAGAAGACATATTGTATTGATTGAATGCGTCGTTGATATGCATTGTCAATATTAAGATTATTTAATGGAAAGTTACTATATAGTACGTGTATTAAGTGCATGATATAAACCAGATCAAGGATAGATCAAGGTTATTTTTAATTTTAAATATAGGAACTCTCTCTATTTTTTACTACATTCAAGCAGTAAACACCTCAAAATAATTTCAAAATTTCAAAAAGCAAAAAGCTTCTTCTGATCAATCTATTCTTGAGTTAGAATTTGAAATATTATGCAGAAGTTGAAAATTTTATGTAATTAATTTAAGGTGGAAATATAAAATATATTAGAGATTTCAATTAGTACAAATAAATAAGAAATGTTTTTATGTACGTAACATAAAAAATATTGCTGATTTGAAGTATTCTGTTTAAAATATTGAGAATGACTATGATATGCTGTCTTTAACAATGTTGTCTAAAATTAAATAAATGCTACCTTATATACAGAGTGTCAATAAAGTTCCGGGACGGCGAAATATCTTTAAAACTAAGCATTTTAGGAAAAATTGTTTCGGATAAAAGTTATAGGGTTAAAAAAATCTATTTATTGATATTTTTAGTTTGACTTTGGGTGAGGTCGCCAAGATCAGAATAAGGTTATCTTGAATTTTTTAAATGAAACCCCCTATTTTTTTATTGCATATTCTTGTAGCTTATCTCGAGAGCTATCCGAAACACTATAATAACGTATTTTTTCATTAAGTACTTTTTGAGTAATAAAACTTGAAAGTTACAGTACCATCGGTGTTAACAATACCCAAGGTGTACCACGCGTCGCTAAGGTCAGGTCAAAGTCAACTTTGCATTTTTAAATAGAAACATATATTTTTTGTTATGGAATTTTATTCTACGTAAAGAAACAATTTTTTGTTTGAAAAAAATTTTTATACGAACTGTTTTCTAAAATATTTACGGAAATATCTACAAAATTATTGGTTCCAATAATTTTTTACTCGAATTCTATCAACTTTATTGAAAAATAGTATAAGATAAAAATTGATTACTTTCTTCTCATAGAGCTCTGAGAATTTTTTTAGAATTTTTTATAAACTTTTTAGTATTTCAAGAAAATGAAAGAAAATGCAGTATTAAAAAGTTAATTAAAACATTCTCAAAGCTCTATAAAAAGAAAGTAAACAATTTTTATCTCTTACTATTTTTCGGTAAAGTTGATAGAATTCGAGTAAAAAATTATTGAAACCAATAATTTTGTAGATATTTCCGTAAATATCTTAGAAAATAGAGGTCGTATAAAAAATTTTTTCAAACAAAAGTTGTTTGTTTCTTTATGTAGAATAAAATTCCGTAAAAAAAATACATGTTTCTATTTAAAAAAGCAAAGTTGACGTCGACCTTGGCGGCGCCGCCAAAGATCAAACCAATGGTTCCGTTTTATGTCCTCTATCGAACCATATCACTTTTGTTTGAAACATTTTTTTCCGTATTTTTTGTATATTTCGAGATATTTCGGTGTGAAAGTTAAAATGGGACACTCTGTATATAAGGATTCATAGAAATCTTTATAAAAATTTCATTGAAATACTATGACTTTATTTAAATTTATAATTTCTATTGATAATTTCATTTTCTCACACATTTCAACTTATATAAAAAAGTTATTATTTTAAATATATATATATATATGAGGCATTCTTCGTCAAATCGGCCATCCCCTCTGCCCAAAATTTTTATGGTTTGATTGAGGTCAACCGGAGCTCAAATTTTAGGTGATCATGTCATCTGGCCTTTTGAGAAATTCATCATGGCGGCTCTAATATGGCGGCGGAAACTGGAAAAAACGATAGAAAATCCGTACATGACTTCCGTACACCACACGATTACTCAAATCTACTCCAAAATGATCAACCCAAGGTTCTTAAGGTCGCTGATTACGACCTTAAATGCACCCTTTATGCATTTGCGAATCAATTGAGATCTTCTAGAATATTATCATTAGATTCAACAATAAGCGCTCTAAGGTTAGTAGTTCTCAAAGCGATATTCAAAACTCATCTAGAATGCCTCTTTAACCTTCATTTACTTTATTTCTTTCAAAGAAATTGGTACTCTTTGAGGAGCATTGAAATATCGTTTTATCAATAATGTTTTTTCTGACAAATATCAGGTATTGGTATGGCCGTTTGGAATCTTCTGTTTAATTTTCTAACCGGTTTATCATGTTCGACCTTACTGAAGTAGAATACTTTAATTGTTTTCAAATGTTTCTGTGCCCAACTGAAAAGAGCTTGTAATTTCCTTGAAAGAAGTAAAGTAAATGAAGGTTAAAGAGGCGTTCTAGATGAGTTTTGAATATCGTTTTGAGAACTACTAATCTTAGAGCGCTTATTGTTGAACCTAATTTATATATATATATATATATATATATATATATATATATATATATATATATATATATAGAGTGGGAAAAAAGGTCGGTACCCTTGAGTAACTCAGAAAATATAAATTTTATAGAAAAATGTTTCAGACAGAAGTTGTAGGGTGCAAAGAGATATATTAAATGATATTATTAATTTGACCTTGGATATAATCGCTAAGGTCAGGACGAGGCTATCTTGATTTTTTTTAATGGAAACTCCTATTTTTTTATTGCATATTCTTGTAGCTTATCTCAAGAGCTTTCCAAAACACTATAATGTATTTTTTCAGTAAGTATTTTTTGAGTAATAAAACTTGAAAGTACCGCTGGTATTAGCATTACCCAAGGTACCTCGCGAAGATTGCTCGGTCGGATTTACACCTCTTTCGTGTATGTGTGTGTATATGGATGTACTGACGATCCTTAATCCTTATCTGTTCCTTATCATCGTAACATTCATAATCACTCATGAATCCACGTACGCATACACGCACGCACACACACCCACATACACTCACACTTATACACTCGCATCCACACTCACACCCACACCCACATCATACTTACCCACCCACACAAGCACATATGCGCACTCACACACGCAAACATACACGAAAGAGATGTAAATCCGACCGAACAACCTCTGTGTGGTACATCCTAGATAATGTTAATGTTGGCGGTACTGTAACTTTCAAGTTTCATTACGCAAAAAGTACTTAATGAAAAAATACGTTATATTATAGTGTTTTGGACAACTCTCGAGATAAGCTACAAGAATGTAATAAAAAGTAGGGGGTTCCATTTAAAAAATTCAAGGTGAACTTGTTCTGACCTTAGCGACCTCATCCAAGGTCAAACTAATAATATCAATTAATAGATCTCTTTACACTCTACAACTTCCATCTGAAACATTTTTCTATAAAACTTATATTTTCTTAGTTATTGAGGAGTACCGACCTTTTTTCCCCCACCCTGTGTATATATGTACACTGTGTGTGTATGTATATATATATATATATATATATATATATATATATACATATATATATATATATATATACAGGGTGTTAGAAAAGTCTGGAAACGGTCGAATATCTCGAAAACAAACCATTTTAAAGAAAACTGTTTCAGATAAAAGTTGTTTGGTTCGAAGGGATCTATAAAAAGGTGTAATTGGTCCGACCTTGAATAGTCATTTGAAGGTCATATGAAGGTCATCTTCAATTTTTTGAATGGAACACCCCATATATTATTATATATTCTTATAGCTTATTTCGAGAGCTTTCCAAAACACTATAATAAAATATTTTTTCGTTAAAAACTTTTCGAGTAATAACACTTGAAATTTCCAGTACTTTGACAAAATACAAAATATCTCGTAAAATATTCATCTTTCGATTATCTTGCCTTAATGCTTTTTTGCACAGAATAATGAGACAAATTAATTGGCTTAAAAAAACCACAAAAAATTTTTTTATATTTATTATGTAAAAAATTTTTGTGCTTTTTTAAGCCAATTAATTTTTTTATATTTATTATGTAAAAATTGTTTTGTGCTTTTTTAAAAGCCAATTAATTTGTCTCATTATTCTGTGCAAAAAAGCATTAAGGCAAGATAATCGAAAGATGAATATTTTACGAGATATAAGGTGTAGTAAAAAGAAATCCATTATTTTTGCATGAAATTGAAGGCTTTATTTAGCATAGTTAGAATGATCCGATTTAGGTCAAATATGC